ACGGCGGAACAGAGCGGTGTCTCCGTCGATTCAGATTCTCTCCCTTTTTTTTCTTTTTTTGTAGACAATGATACTCTATTTCTTGAGGTGTTCTCGGGATAGGAATGGAATCTGTGGAGGAAGATGAGGAAGATTGCCTAGTAATTGGTCTAGATGAAGATGGGTTGTCGGGTTCTATGGCAGTTATTAGATTTAGAGTTGTTAACCAAAATCTCATTTGGTTTTGCCAACGACAAAAATTGTTCCCATCAAACTTCTCTGGTTTAGCCGACATAATTTCACTCGTAGCCATAATCTAATGATGAATGAATAATTTTGTTATTATAATGCAACAGATGTGATTTAAACATTCAAACAACAGAATCAAGCGTGGCATGTCGGTTTTATAAGATGTAGACTGCATTAACATAACCAACCTAATATGAAACATAATACTAAACATGCTAAACATGATATTATTCTAAACAACACAATTAAATTCTTGGATTGTTAAGAATATTAGCTGTTTAGGCAATAATTAATACGAAATTATGTTTTGAACAGACAATTAATATCAGATAAAAGCAGATTAATATTTTATCACAGAAATAAAATTAATTGTAACAAAAAAATAAATAAGGTTAGAAATACGGCCTGATGGTCGAGACGTGCAAGACACTATCCCAAGAATCTGATTGCCTTCTCTCGTACAGGGCTACGCGGCAATAGTTATCGGAGATACAACGACCCTCGGTCAGACGACCTCCTTCTTATTGGCACGAGCTTCAAGAAGGCTTTGCGAATTCTCCTCGACTTTCAGGAAACCAGCGGAAGTGTAATAGCAGAAGAATATTTTCGAAAAGAGAAGAGGAAAAGAAGAAATCTGTTTCTTCACAATTGTGTTTAACCCTCACATATATTGGTCTTTATATAGGTTGAGAGTCGTGTCCGTTATCCCACAAATCCCGCGACAATTAACATGTTTAATGCTAGCCGTTTCGTCATTTAAGTCCATAAATCTGCGGTTAATACGTTTTAATTTCTCTCCCATTTATCCTAGCCGTTACAAAATATTTATCACGTTTTAGTTGTAAAATAAAAACATTAATCACGTTTTTAATCTGCATCACATTAATTATGTTTTAATTATTTCAATTAGCAAAAATAAAATATAGCAGGTTAAGAGCCCCTCAATCAAGAGCTGCATTCGTGTCCGCAGGTCGTGTGCGAGCGCCACCCGACCCAACCCGAACCTGAGCCCGAGCCCGGCCCGGCCGACGCGCGCGTGTGTGGTGTAGAGCATAACCCTTATTTTCTTCTAGGCATAAGAGAGAAGGGAAAAACTTATAAACACCCTTTTTTCCTATTCCATTTCTTATGTGGGACTAAATTTTCCTGCTACAATGTCAAGTTTTAAGTTACATGTAGACGGTAAAAAATACCTCTATGGGTCTACAGGGAATTTGTCTACGAGAAGAGTTCGCACGCCCAGTTTCTCTGACACGGAACCTAAACCGCGGTAGACGTCGACTGGCTCAAATCCAGGTTCGCCTAAGCGTCGACCGCGCAGCATGAGTCAGGAGGCGATCAGGCATGGCGGAAATTTGCTCTTCCGCTCAACTCGCCTGCCCGAGTTCGGAGTCGAATCCGCAGCAAGCCCCAAAACCGTCAGTAACATGCTGGGTACCCCCTACCACCGCGCGAGGTGGGCCTTCCCACCTCTCTTCGACCCAAAGGAGAGAGAGCAACAGTACCCAGGGCCGTCAAAACGGCCACGCCACAGTGCGCACAGCACGAAGAGCAGGAACGGCGTCGAGTCAACTGAGCGTTCATAAATGCGACTCACTCTCGCTGTCTGAGTCTGGAGCTGCGGTCGCGCCGCACTCGCAGCGCTAGGACTTCACTCGATTACTGTACACCTACGTCACCGTGCCTCTCCTGACCGAAACGGAGAAAGCGTCGTGCTCAAAGCACGCCGGATCGGTCACGCACCAAAGTACTGTGAGCGCGACAGGACGCCGCTCATCGATCTGGGACTCATAAACATGCGGTTCAATTAGCTGTGTCATAAGTCCACTCAGATAGTATTCGTTTGCTTGCCTCACATACAAGAATGGCCTCCATCGTAGGTGACAGGACATAAAGCACAATCCCTGGAATGACCGAGTCATGGCTTTCGCAGGAACAGCTAGACGTCTCGAAGAAGATTTGGTCCATCCCACAATTCAAGGAGGAGTCAAGTTGTCCTTCTCCCGTTTAAAAGCCTCTTCCGGCACACTGGAAGGGAGGTCGCAAAACTTAGGAAAAAGAGTTGAGACCAAGCTCTCTGCACAACTTTCTTTGCATTGCAGCACTACTGCTTAGTTCCGAGCTCCGATCGCCGGCGAACTAAACAGACCCGAACTCTCTCAAGTTGAGCTTCTACTGCGAACTGAAGCTCTCCAGCAACCTCATTCGAACGGTCCAAGGGAAGCAGACTCGACACGAGCATCGAGCGAAGCATCCTGTAGCCACCTAAAAGTCCCCACACAAAACAAAGAGGGCCTTCCCTCTGCTTCTGTTGTAACTATTTGATCATTAGTTTGTAATAAGCCTTCTTATAAATACAAACGAAACTCCCTCTTCCGGGAAATCAAATATTCACCCTACATTACACTTATTATAACTCCAACATATACTATTATATTATAAATAATTTGAAGTTCTATACAGTAATGGATATATTAAGAGTTAAGGTATAAATCTGAAAATCTTTTCCCACTTTTTAAAACTCAAAAGTTGCATGGATTGAGGGATGTGATTTTATGTTTTAATAAATATTCTAATGGTTTCTCCATTTTTATCTTTGATACCCTAAAATTGTGTTAGGGATTTTATGGAGTTTATCAGTGAAATTAAACACAAGAAGCAAGTAACAACACCAATGAAAATATCATACAGAAGCAAACACAACAATTTAGCATGATTTGGCAAATTCTGCCTACGTTGATAATGCAATTCAGAAAAAAATATTTCACTATGAATTAAGAGGACAACTCCAACTTAAGAATTAAATCACAATAGAAATGCAATGTTACCTTTAAAGCATAAGAATCCTAAACAGTCACAGCATGGTATCCTTGATGGCGATGTCTTTTGAAAGAAGACATCACTTAAATCACTATAATCGGACAAC